AGTTGAAAGCCCTATTTGCCTCCCTCAGAGCGGCCGGTGGTTTCGAACCGTGGGCCTTTCAGATTGCAGCCCAACATGCAACCACTGCGCCACCAGGGCTGCTGGCCCCTGGCTCCTGTGCTATAACTCGAGGGCTGGCCATGGTGTGATGTGGTCCCTGCCTCATGGGAGACAGCTGGGACTGAGCCCAGGGTCATGCAGCCAGCCTGGCCACGACCAAACAGGGGCCAAGTGTTAGTTCAGCCAAGCCAGGGTGCTTCCTGCCCAGGGGTACAGGCCTCTCTCCCTCGAGCATACTCAGGGGCAAGGGCGGGGGGCGGGGATGAAAGCTACTTCCAGACCTGGCCTTGGTGAGCAGTGTGGCCTGGTAAGCAGTGACAGTCTCAGAAACTCAGAGGGGGCAGGTCTTCTCTGTCCTATAGGGTCGCTATGAGTCAGCACAGACTCAGTAACAGTGAGTCTGGTTTCTGAACTGCCTCATACCTGGGCAGAAGGACACCTGTTGGAACGACTCTCTCTGAGGAGATGCCTGCGGCAGCCGGAGCCCACACTGCCCTCAGGAGAAAGCCCAGCTCCGAACATGCCTGTGTAGCGTCCAGGTCCAGGATCCCCCCGCCCACATGCTCACAAGGCCGGCAGCACAGAGCCGCCCACAGCCCATGACAAGTCACACCGTCAGTACCTGCCCTGCTAGGTAAACATCCCTCAGCAGTCTGGAAGCTTCCTTGTCTGGGAAGCCCCATGGCCCTCCGCTCTGGGCCTGGGGGTTGTCGGCTGACCTGTCCACTTCTCTTCGGACTGGGAGCTGACTGGTTGGCCTCATGCCTGTACGTTGTTGACACCCAAATAGAGAACCCTGCCAAGTGACAGTCACCTCTCCCAGCCCTCACCCCCGACAGACCTCATTTCCTCGTTGGGTGTCTTAGCCTGAACGCTTCCTTGCTGGGTGACCTTGGGCAAATCTCTTCCCTCTCTGAGGCTGCCCTGCCGGCCTTCAATGGCTGGATAGGAGGCAAAGCGATGCCAGACGGGACAGCGCGACCATAAACCACATCAGTCCCTGAGGTGGGCAGGGTGCTGCTAGGCTGCCCGAGGCCCTCAGCTATCCTTGCCCACGCTATCTCTCTGAACGCCGGGCGCCCTGCGGCCCTGTGGCCTCTGGGGCGTAGCTCTGGGCCGCCTGTCCACCAGGGAGGACAAGCTGGTGCTGACACCTGAGGCCTGGCAGTGTGGACACGGGCCTAATGAGGATGGATGGTCCTGCAGTCCAGAGAGGCGGCGCCCATCTCCCGCCCAAACAACAATTGAGTTTCCCAGAGATTCTGTGTGGCAGGCGGGTGATCCTGACGGATGCCCGCAGGAACCCGGGAAAGGATTGCTTCTGACGGAAACCCTAATGGATATTAACGCTTAGCGGCTGGGCAAGCACTTCTCAGACAATAACGGCCTTGCGTCTGTGGTGGCCAGGGCCCAGAACCCCCGCTCCAGGTGTGAGTGCCAGGGCTGAGCGGGCGCCGTTCCTCTGGGCTCCTCTCTACCCACCCTGCGGCCCCGCTGTTGGAATTACTGCCTCCTGACCCTGTTCCCCAGTGACTTCCCCGAGATTGGCTTCATGTCCACCCGAGTGGAAGATGCATGGCTTGACTGGCGCCCCAGCCTCTCATTAAGCCTGTCCCAACCCCTGACTCTGATTTCTGGGCTCCAGCTGGTGCCTCTGGGCTGCTCGGCCCGCCCAGGGGTTCTCAGCGGCCAAGGCCATAACTCAGATGCTCTCAGATTTAGGAAAACGAAAGAGCTTTTAGCCCCCAGACACGGATCCAGTACATCTAAAAGCTCTCTGATGGAGCTTGAAGACAGGCTGAGAGACATGTCTGTCTTTGGGGGGCCCTGGGGGATTCGCGTCTGTTCTCTCGCTGGCTCTGCATGGCTGGTTTGCCCTCTCGGCTCACCTCACCCCTGCAGCCCTCTTGCCCCTGCTCCGGCTAGCTGTCCCTTGCAAAACTCACCCAGGCTGCCCTGCCCGCCCCTCCCACCCCGTGATCCCTCAAGGAGGCTTCCTCCTCCCTTCCCCGTCACTTGTTTTATCTGAAGTGAAACTCGTCCTCCGGAAATCAATGTGCTGGAAATAGCCCACGCCAAGCTCCTCGGTGAGACAGCCACACGTGTCCCAGCCTCGCCTCGTGCCCTGAGTGTCAAGATGGGGGGCACGGGGGGTGGGGGCTGGAGGCCTCTGAGAGCAAATGAGCCCCCAGGCCCCACCTCTTCATGGCCCACGTGAGGCCCGTGGGCTGCTCCCTGGACCACCGTGGGACCCCCTCGCTGGGCGGTGCTGGAGGGCGGGATCACCAC